CAGTTAACCATAAAAATATATGTTCAATTAAGTTTAATTCCCTGTCCTGGTTTGTGTCTTGTGCGTTTTTTTGTGGGAGTCCTGTTAGACGAGGAGTTTTTAATAGGCTCATTTCAATCTGGCTCCTATGGCCTCGTCCATTTCCAGTTCTTAGCTGTTTGAAGGAGCCCACATCATTTCTGCAATGCCCCACACACACACACACACACACACACACACACACACACACACACACACACACACACACAGACCTCACAAGCATCAAAAGACCAACCACATTCATATTACTCTGACCAGCTATATTATGAACGTTTGGCGGTGGCCCATACTACTTGTAAATTCAATTTGTGGCCTATTTGACAGTCATCACTTAAGTGTGAGTGGTAAAGTAGGGCCGTCGTAGTGATGATTTGCCCACTAGTGGCGTTTTGTGTTCAGCCGTGAGGCTTTCACAGATAAATGATGTTGTGTGAGCTGACAGTCGGGCTGATGAGATGGAGCGGGGCTGTCATAACTCTTCCTCACCAGCACACCATGAACCTTGGCCCACAGCTGACCCCTGGACCCTTTCTAACAGCGTATATGTGTGCGTGTCCCTTTGCAGACAACATCATGAATGAAAGTGTAGAAGCAGTTATTTCTCAGCTTAATAGTCTCTAGCTGATGAACTGTGACTCAAATTAAAAACATGAACATTGAAGCTTCCTTCATATGTGAAAGTATGGAAATTTGAAGATGTAGGCTACCAGCAAACAGAAACACGTAGTCCATTATTACAACCACAGCCCAAACTCTTATTTCCCCTCTGTTCTCCTTGCAGTTCAATTGAAGATGTGCTCTGTACTGTAGCTATGCTGACAGCTTTTTTTCACTCTCCATGTAGGAAGTAATCGCATGGTTAAAGCTGTCCATTGAATTCTGTCCCGCCTCTTATGATTCACCTTCTGCAGGAACCTCCAGGCATGTGTCACAGCAATGCCACACAGTTTGGCTCACTGCCAGAGCCTAAAGTAGCCCCCCCCCTTCAAAATTGACATCCACGCACATCAGCCTGCAATCAGAGCTTGGCCAAGCCGCCCACTGTCTTGAATTACACAGCAATTCACTCTGATACCAGAGTACCTGCACCTTAGTCATGCAGATTTCCGATAGAAGTTGTGGAGTGAAGAAAAGTATAGCCAAAGTTAAGCTGTCGGCCTCAGCCCAAGATCCCACTGCTTTCCCTTTCCGTTTCCACATCCCTGTGGTGCCAGAGGAACAATGTGTGTGTGTGTGTGTGTGTGTGTTAGTGTTGTATGGGCGCACATATTTGCACTAGCATCCACGCTGCTTGTAGGCTCCATGGAAGGGGATCTGTTTTGGCTCCTTTCCACCATTCCTGGGCGGAGGCGTCATGCCCCTCATGCCCCATCCCACTGTGAGCGATGGCGTGACGAGGCGAAAACAGGCGAGACCGAGGCCCGACGACAATGCAAAGAGACGAGGTATTGAGGGTCCCGATCTTACCAGTGCAGCTGTCGTGGCTTTGGAAAATAAAGTTTTCTCCCCTTTGGCTCTGCAGAGAAGGATTAAGCCAGGACAGCATTTACTGTTGGGTGGTTTCGGCCTAAGAAACCCTGTCATGTGGCAAAGGAGAGGACACAGGCAGGGAATGATGGTGGAAAGAGATTGATCTGAGCAGACAGATATGGAGGGACAGCTGTTGGTTGCAAACGTCCCACGGAGGAAAGAGAGAAGGGAGGGTGAAAGATGGAGAGAAGTAGAAGGAGGGGTAAGGTATGCAGAGTAAATTTGGCAGACAGCAACTGCAGTACACGATAGATTTCTTACACCTCTCCTTACCTACACAAACATACATGCTGCGCTGTGAGTAATGGTTGGAACGCTTCAAACCACGACGATGTACGCACCCCTCTAGTGTCAGTTTTGGACTCAGGGACGGCGTGTCAGTTTCCACTCCTTAGATGCATAGTATCTTTTCAAAACAAACCGATTTAGCATGTCCTAATTTAAGCTTATGTGCAAGAAAAGCAGACTGAGCCTAGAATTGATGGCATGCTTTTTGCAGCATGTTGTTCATAATCCTCACAGGGTGTTAAACCTAGGATGGCATGATTCATGGAGGCACCGTTCATAAATAAAGCCAGTCTGCTGCACAGTTATTTCAGTAAATGCTTTTCAGCTGGACTTCCGGCATCCCTGCCTAAAAAATGACTGAAATGAATCGAATCAGGCGAGTCTACAACGTAGCAGTGCTATTGTCAGCTAGAAGTCCATTTTTATGATAGTTTAAAAAGGTATCTATTAAAAGATTTTATACAAACATTTCATCTGGAACCTTATTATTCAGATCCATTGAACACAAAGGGTTTTACCTCCAAGGCTTGCGTTTCCTCGACACTTGTCTTCCTCAGTAGAAGTAAAGCCAGACGTTCTCTGCTGACTTGCCAGTGTGTGCCAGCGCTGGCCGTCACCGCCGCACTCACAGCTGTGTGAGCTCTGTGTCTGCCACAGCTGCAGGGCTCTGCGCTCTCTCATGAGACAAATGATACCCCATTTCCACACACAGCACAGCAGCGGCAACTTGACGCCTCTCTTCTCGCTTTCTTATTAAAACAAGGTTCTTTGTTTTCGCAAGGCCACATATTGCACATCCACTCTGTAAGAAAAAATGACACATTGAGAGCCCAAAGTGTTCCTCTGAGTGTAAAACTCGAATTCTTTACATTCTTCATTCGTCTCAGCCTCGAGAACAGAGGGCTGTGTGTGTGTGTGTGTGTGTGTGTTGGAACGCCACGGTCATCCTCCTTTTCCTTGCCGGATCTTAAGGAACTGTGTATGAATGCTGCCATGCAAATGACCACAAAGCTGTGAAAAGACTCTCTGCGTCCACAGAGTGGAACAGAATGCCACGTATGTCCCTCAGGATAACGAGCTACACGGTTGCTGCAGGATCTCATGTCGGCACACATCTGAACACATACACTCGTATGCCCCTGCTCCACATGCTGTATAAACACACAGACAGGGTAAAAGGCCACAGATGGTAAATATAGCTCATAGAGGGTGAGTGATCACATCTCCAGCCAAATTGCAGTCTGTTTATAGCCATAGGAACATTACTAACTCCGCTGTATGATGCCTGATGACCAGAAACCAACATCCATCTCCGGAGCGTGACTTATTGTGGAAATGTTGTTCCAGCGTTGTGCTGAATGAATACTGACAGCCATCTTGTTTTTTTTCCCGTGGCCACGGTTTAGAGTTGGCTGTCCAGTTGGCTGTCCGCAGTCCCCCAGGGAACAGGAAGGAGGCGAGCTTGTAATGATGAGGAGTAATGATGTAACGTAATTATATTTGTCTGGTTACACAGTGTGCCAATGGAGCCTGAATTAATTGTGCCCGCTAATGGGAGGAACAAACTGTCTTGTTTTTGCCTGCTGTGTCGCTCTTTGGTTTGTTCTGTGCAGCGGTTGGCGCGTTGCCGCTCTATTGATCACTCCGTTTTTTTCCCACCCTCTCCCCCTTGTTATCGCTCTGTTTCCTTGTTATCTATCAGTCCTCACCTCCTATCATGCTGGCACACAATCAGTATGCTCATTCTCCTCTCACTTACATTATTTCTGTTCCCGTCTCCTGTTGTGCCTGCCCACCCAGCCACACTGTGCTTTTCACTCTCGGCCTGACCTTACGTCTTTTGACATTGTATCTTTTGATCAAAATTGAATACCCTGAAGCCAATTCACTCAGCCTTGTCGTTGCCTTTATACAATAAATGTGTTTGTAATGGAAAGAGGTTCTGAGATGTGGGGGGGAGACAAAAAAAAATCATTAAGTCAATTTTGACTAGCATAGTAAGATTGTCGCCTGATACAGTATGTGCACTCACTGCTTCCCAATCAATCGTGCTCAGAAGCCTCAGACTTTGTGCTTGATTGGACATTGACTTTGCAATGTCCTCGAGCCCGGACCTCCTTCCTACGTACATGTGAACATTTCAGCTCCTCTCGGATAGTTAAACCTTCAATTGATTGTGCTGGAAATTGAAGAAATATCCTTGTACAGAACATGACATTGCCAAACAGAAATGGCCCCTTTGGCCCTGACGGCGGCCATTGTCCTTCGGTGAGCTTATGCAACAGCTTCGACAACAGACGGAGGGAAACTTTAGCCACCATTTCTCACAATAAAATAGAAATGAAAGCAGCGACTCTGCCCTCGTAAGTCATCCTGTTGGGCAGAAAAGTGACCCCTCTTGTACAAGATTGAGGTGCTAAATCAGCCTGCAGACACCTCCTGGTCCTCTCATCTGAAGGTGCTCCTGAAGAACCATCATTCATGCTGGAGAGTGCTTTGATATTCTGTGTAGCTTTCCTTGGCTCTGCAGATCTTTGTGCCCCATGTGTTTTTTTTGTATGCCTGCGTCTGTTTGATCTCCGTAGTGTGCTTGACAAAGACAGCATTGAAGGATCAACAAAGAGAATTGTATATGTGCACTGCTACTTAGGTGCAAAATGTGCCCTTTCACCTCGAACATGTTGCCCCGCGCTCGTGTCGTGACTTGGCTGTCTGCTGGAGCATGCAAGGTCCCAGTCTAAGGGCTTTATTGTCTTGAGTGAGGCTGAGACCAGCGGACCATACATTCTGTAACATCACATGGACACAACTTAAGTGTACTGCTGTGTAACCTGCTGTGCACACACTCTGCCCCGAGGTCGCACTGTGGACGCTCTTCAAATTTTAATAATAACTCTGGGCTATTTAGATACAAGTCTGGTTATATTCCTGTTTTATTGTTTGAATAAGATTTCTTTCTCCAGGAGTTTATAATTTATTTGGTGTAGCAGGGGTGGGAAATACCAGCTTGGTGGACAATGCTCACTGGTTGACAGATTTCATAAACAAAGTTGTAAATAAGTAAAAAGAGATGACCACAAGATTGATATTTCAAACACACAATGTTTGAGTTGAAATGACTGACTCACAGTTTGTTTTTGCAGACTTTTGACCCCCCCCCCTCAGCTTGAGGCGCAGACAGTCTCTCCTCTCAATTCTCCTCCACCCCGTAAAGGTAAGATTTCTGCTTTCACCTAGCACACCCCTCCTCCATATGCTATGACAGTCTGTTAACGCCGCAGCAGAATGAAACTGTGAGACTCTAATTACCCCAGAGGGTTCGATAGCACTCCCCCCTCGGAACACCTTATGTGTGTTGCTCTGTTTAATCAACAAGTCCCCCTCGGATGAAAAAGCACTTAAACACACAACATGTCTTTAATTTCCACACTGTTGCAGCTGGGATTGCTCTGTAAGCAGAGTTGATTAAGATACAGATGTAGCCAAGTGGATAATCTTGTCTGGATTACAGTAGACCCTCATTGATGTGAGGGTGAATCCCGCTACCTGAAAGTGTAGCGGCCCCACTGATTGCCACCCAGAACATCCTGCTGCATGGTACCTGCTCTTCAAAGAGAGGCGAAGCTTAAAGGGGCTCCCTAAAATTAGCCATGCAACAGATAACCTGTGGGATCAAAGCGGTGCTGAACTGTCAGGCTCTTTCGTCGGGCGCCTGTGGTGGCCGAGCCAGTAGAAGGAGGAATGTAGAGTGAGAGACAGCCACAGAGATGGGTGGAGAGTAAGAGAGGCTGCAATGCTATTCATGCAATGGGGATGAGCGTACAAGAGGCCCCGTATCGAGGTGTAAAGTTCCACCGCAGGAGATTATCCACAGGGGGGGTTTGGATTGAAGGGGTCAAGGTTTTTTGTGTTGCACATCACGCTCTCACTCCAACAGTACGTGTTACTGTTACTCAGAACTCTTAATGTCCCACAAGGCTGTACAGTCATCAGGGTGTTTAATCACATCATGTGTGTGAGAGACAGACGGCTCATTTCCAGTATAATGCATCTCTGTGTGTCGTGTTGTTCTGCACCTTTAAAACCAGCATCCTTTCAGAAGAACTCGCACAGCTCTTTCCGATAAAGTCAAGTGCTCCTTCTTTGACGCCACCTGTCATGTTCCAAATGTGATTCGTTGAAGTGATTGTAAACCAGATATTATTCAGTACTAGAAAGTAGGTATATGAAATATTTGTAGCCGTTTAGGGCGTTGTTACAAGTTATATTACGAGTGACAGAAGCAAGGAGTTTCCAACATGTATCCATTACTTTCAGCTTATGGCACTTTTGACATTATTGATCGTACAAAGGGCAACATTGCCATACAAAGACAATAACTATAGTACATCTGGCAACACTGGTTGTAAGAACCACTAGTCCCTGCTTTACTTTAATAAAAAACAAATACAATATTAAAATGACCTGCATTTGGAATTGTACTTCTGTAAAAGTATCAAACTAAAGTACTCTTAAGAGGGCAGAGTGTAACTAGTAACTGTAGTTGCCAGAGACATGTAGTAGAGTAGTGTAAAGACACATACATTTGTACTTCAGAACAATGTTTTTGTAAATGTTCACAGTTCTATTCCTCTATTGTCCCAAATAGTCAATGCATCTAAGTTCCACTGACACGTAAATGGTTTTAAGTAGCCTTGATGTCAGTAAATCCTTTTTCATAAAGTGAATTTCTCCTTGAAGTATCAATATACTGTTAATCGTGCCATCTTGTAATTGATTGCCTGCTTTAATTAAGCATTGGCAGCATATCATTACACACCCTTTTGTAGCAGATCAAACGTTTTAATCAAATTCGTCCACTTAGTCACTTAATTAATGTGATCATGCCAATTCCATATTATTCTGAGCTTTAACTGAGATTTCTCTTGTAAAAATAAAGGATTAACAAGTAATTATTTTATGATCATTTGTATTTTAATTGACTCTTCCCGCCTCTGTTTGCATATCAAAGATGATAGCCTCAACGTCCTATGTTTGCAACGTTGTCTGCTGTATTTTCAGTTGGCTGTTGCTGCTTTGATGTCTCCAGCGCTACTGTGGGGTTTTTTTCACATCTCCTTTGGATTGTCAGAGATTGAATCTATATCTACATCTCTGGAAATGGCTGTATCCTGCTTGTCCCTTTTTCCCACCATGAAGGCTTCAGAGAGTTTCTGTCCAGCAGAATAAGGCTACATCCACACTAATACGTTTGCATTTATAACCAGGGTTTTAAAACAAAAACAATCTCCGCCCACACGGGCGTTTCAGCATCGTTTGTGAAATCATTTCCGTCCATACTAGCAAGCCTGAAAACAAATATCACGTGACTATTCACGTACACTGGACATGTGGGTGTACGACATAGTATTATAGTAGTCTTTAATAATAAAAGGTCACGCTTGATACTTAAAATCTTCCTCTGATATCTTGCTCTATAAACTCAAACAAACACATTTTGTGGAAAGTTTTATTTTTCAAACTTAAAGGTCTTGCTCTATCTCTCTCTCTCACATCAAATTTACTTCAAAATGAACACTTACAGATAAAAATTCACTAGATTATGGTTCAATAAATGTGGTCAGTACGCGTCTCTTTCTCGTTTCCTCTCGGTTTCGTTGTCTTCACTCGTATCTCTGCTGGTGGCTGAAGTCCCTGTCGTACTGGAGAGCATTTATGCTTTTGTTCCTTTACAGTTTATGTGTGGACTTCACAATAGTTGTGCAAAACAAAATAAGCATTGATAACAAAAAGGAAAGTCCTCCTTTTTGCTAGTATAGACAACAAAGTCAGCAACGCCTGTAATCAGTTATCCATGTTGAATCAACCTTGTAGTCGATCAGTAATCAATGCTGTTTGTTTTCTTCCGGTAAAGGGTCACGTGATCGGGGATTATATGGAGAAGTTTTCAAACTTCTCCGGTTACGCCGTCCACACCAGGAGTTAACCCCGGAGTTTTCAAACTTAACCGTCGTCTGGAGCGTTTTTAAACGTAACTCTAAAACTCCGGGATAGTGTGGACACTCAGAGTAAACGTAGCCAAAGATATGCCTTTTAAAAAAACGTAGTATTGTGGTCCAGGCCTAAGAGAAAGAGAGCTAACCATGAGGTCCCTGAGGTGTGTTTTTAGTGTGATTAAATGTGCAATTAGGCAAAAAACAACGGCAGAGCATTTGGAAACAGAGCTGTTTTGCACTGACTATGTTGCTTTACATCCATAGTTATTGCATCCTTGTTTTTAATGCGTGTCTGCCCTTCAAACGGCATATTATTCAGTTAGCCTTGGGTAGCAGCCCCCTTCGGGCCTCTATAACCACTAGTGGCCTTGCGGCACACTACATGGCGGTGTTGCTGTGTGTATGTGTGGGGGGAGTGTTATTGATATCACTCCTGTTGTGCTTGCTGAAAGATACTGATTGATGCTGTTCCGCCAGTGAAGCATTTACATATTTATTTCCCTGGCCAAACAGCGCCACATGCACTGGTGGCCACCGGAGACCCTATATGCCTGTCTTTAATTGGCTATTGATTGACTCTGCTATGCCAAGGAGAGACAATAAATGACTGCCTACTTGTAGAGAGGGAGGTGGAAGACAAGTTGAGTGTTGGGGAGTGTCAGCCTAATCCTGAGTGTCAAATCTGTGGTTGTATTATTTATGCGTCCCTCATTTATATTTATGTGGTGAAGATCAGTGACGCAACACTCAACGCAACAATGGCAATACAGGCTCCCTCTTGGACACAGTGTATTTGCATAGGTCAACGCACATTGGTTGTGTTTGGAAAGATGGTATGACCCTGAGAGAGACGATGCATATTTGGAATGGATGAGCAAATCAGTGTGGGTGTCCGAGAACCTACATTTGGCAATAAATTGGTTCCTCCACAACAGACTGCATTGTGGAATTAAATAATGTAACATTATGAATGTGTATACTTTATATGTGCAACTGTTTGCATGTGTGCTTGCATATACGGGTGTATGAATTGGATGTCTCATAACAATGCGATATGATGATTTGCTATTCTCAATGAATGTAAATTGGAATCGAAAACATGAATATGAACAACTTCTAGTTAAGGTGGCGCCTGATATTTTCACACAACATTTCGATGCCGTTGCAGTTTTCTAATAACTCGAAGCTAGAATGATGTTTGGGACGGCGAGAGATTTCTAATTTCTCCAGCCAGGAGGGTAATTACTCTGCCTCGTTGTGCCGGTGCTCACCAGAGCTGTACAAAATTAAAAAGCTCCATTTTAACCTCTTTTCTTTTTCAGTCAAAGTCAATAGTTAACTTATTACTTATCAAGGAACATATCCTGTGTTTATTTAAAAAAAAAAATATTTTAACATAAAATCAACCGCGTTATACACAATTATACTTTTGTTAATTTGAGATAAATGAGAGTAGTGTATGACTTAAATGTTTAACATATAGTATATTTTAGTGACTGAATCCTCACCTATACCTTTAACTTGCACTGCACATTGTCAGCTAATGGAGCTAAAACCACCAAATCCACAATTGGCACCAGAGCACAATATGGTGTCACTCACACACACACACACACACACACACTCACACACACACACACACACACACACACACACACACACACACACACACACACACACACACACACACACACCTCCCAGACACTTCAACCTCTTGATTATTTCTTCAACCTGTTGCTTTGTTCGCTGCCAGTCAGCCAGTTCGTCCATCCAAACCACTTAATTTAACCAGCCAGCGGAGCCGGAGGAATCTGTGAGCAGAATTCTTTAGCTCCGTCATCCTCCTCTAGGCTGGGAACTATCCCGGGAATGTCCCCTCCTGCTGTGTTGCACACATCCAGGTCCTGTTCCGGTAAATGCCAGCCAGCTCAGTTGAGCTTTGATGCTAGCCTTGCATGTGAACGCCTAGTGTGCGTGTGCATGTGCTGTGTGCGAGCTTGCATATTTGTGTGAATGCTGACAGGCAGCCAGCTCGGGTATTGATCTGTAGCCATTCCGACTGGAGCCCAAAGGGCAGGCTGTATCATCTGTCAGTCTACCGAGAAGGGCACTACGGCCGCACTGATCTTAGCTCGCAAATCCCACTCAGAGAGGTAGAGAGGAGGGGGCGAGGGAGTCACAGAGGTGGAAAGCAAGACAGACGGAAGGATGCTGAAAG